ACGAATCAGTTGTCAAACAATCGAACCAAAACGCCAATCGAACCACATTGGAATCATATAATCGAACCATATAATAAACCGTATCGTATTCGATGAACCACATTTTTATTAGGTACCAAATTTAGCATACATTTTGTATAAGGAAATTTTAAATGCCAAACCAAGATTTAAACAAAATCCCAAGTTCGAGTTCGAACCAGTTTCACGAACCGCATACAAAGGCCGGTCGTTGGCTCGCACCGTGAACCGAACCACAGGCAAACTGTAGCTTTGCAGCCCTGGTATTCTTTACTTCATACCTAACAAACAGCTCGTAAGTCTTAAAGGATTCGAGTTAAGTGTTTTGGTAGGGTTTTGGTATTTAACGACCAGCTCTAGGCTGGCAAATAGTGTTAGCCAATTATGATAATGCCCCACTTAAATACAGTTACGATAATTTTCTAGCTATGTTTCGGCTTAACTCCAAACGATGCCTTCAATTAGCCGAAATTACAAATATTCAGACACTACGCCATATACATGTATAAGATCTGGTGCGTGTGTGCGTGTGTGTGTATGTGTGCGATAAAGTATATGAATGTTTGTGAATTCGTATGTTTCTATAGAATTGTGGGGCACATTAAAATCATTTTTTATGATTATCTTTGCATGTGAATCGTTTTATTGACTTTTGCCGGCACGAACTACATTTAGATGCCAGCCAGCTGAAAGCAACAACTGCCATACAAGGACTCAAGGATATGAGTCTATAAATATATATACACATAAGTATATACTTACCGCACATGCGGAAAACTTAGAGACAACTCGTTCCTTTTACCATTTTGACATAACTTTTTATGTGAATACTTCCGGCTCTTTTTTTTTTATTAAAAAGTTGTGCCTGCCCTTGCGCAGACCAAAGGAGCCTTCTATGACATTATAAAGTACATTAACTAACATGCTTTTCCGGCTCTTACAGCGCAAAGTATTTCCTCATTAAATGCAAAATTTGTTTTCCTCTCATTTTGCCAACGTGGCCACGTTGGCAAGAAATTCATTAATTTTTTCTGCCGAGCCGTGACTTAAAGTTTGAGGGCGATCGAAAGGAAAATTAAAAAAAACTAAAGTTGCATTTAAAAGTTTTCCACCCGTTTTCCACGCTAGCAGGCGGAATTATGCCCCATTAAACGAACATCTTAGTTATATATATTCATGTTGAGCTTATGCGGGTTTTTCTTAAAATGCCCTACCAAGTTTTTTAGGAAAAGTAACTTGATTTTCGATAAGTCTGGTCTTTTACTAAAACTGATTTTAAATTCAAATAAGCACAGGGTACCTCCGAGCGAGCACTCTCTGCCTGAGCATACTCTATTCGTGTTTTATTGGAATTAAGTGTTTCGTGACATTCTTAGCCTGCTGCTGGTGCTGTCCTTAACTTGTGGTTGCGACTTAAGCCAGGCGTGGGTCGGTGTGATATATTTAGAGGATAAGCATGTCGACTTATGGGCATGTGTCCACAGGACGAAATAGCCATCAAATAATTTCAAATCAAACACTTGTCAGAGCCTAAACAACAGCTGCCCCCGGTCGGATTCTATTAAAAAGATATTTGCCACGGGACATTCCATTTACTGCCCTCCTCTGCGCTTCTCACCTCAACTTCTAATGTTGCGTGGGGAGCAAAGTAATTTGGCGTCACACTTTTGTCAAGCAAACGGCGGGACTGGCAGATGCGCCACTGGAAATGGAAATGGAAATGAAATTTGGATTGGGCGCCGGTCGGTGGAGGGGCGTCTCAGGGGGAGGGTGGCTGGGGACCGCGCGCTGGCCAGACAATTAGGCGGAATTAGGTCGCCGCTCGCTGCTTATTGTTGCTTATGTTTATGATTATGTTGTAGGCGCATTAGCAGGCATACACTTACACACCAACACACACACACACACAAACACACACACACAGCTTAGGACAGAAATTCGCGGCTGCTGGGGCCACCCAAGGCCGACGGCAAATTTTATTTAGAAACTTATGTAAGCCCATAGCAAAAAGGAAAAATAAAAACAAAAACAACAGGCAGAACAATGAGACTGCGGCCAGTCGGGCATACACGGCTGGAAGTTATCCTGGTCTCACTTTAGCTTAAACCAAATTGTTTGCCCAAAAAAATCTGAGGGCAATATTTACTGAGTTCTTAGCCTTGGGCATAGTTTGCGGAATGCCCCTACTATGTTGGGTTTGGTAGAATGAGCTGCTATCTGCTTAAATTTTTAATAAAAAAAAGAATACACTTTAAAAGCTAAAAGCCGAACTTGTAGATCCCGAGCCAGCTAACTAAATAACATATATATCAAAAAAGTATGCTATGGAAATGTGCTTGAAAGAAAACTGCAAATAATAATATTGAAGAACTATTTTGACAAAGAAAGTAAAGTAAGTATTAAAGAGATAGTAAATATATATGGTAAGTACATATTGAAAAAAAGAAGAAAATAATGTAGAATAAATGCGTTTAAGTCTTTATTCAGCATGAAGAATATCTATCAATTGGAAATTCTCATATATCTTGCATATCTTAAACGTAAATATATATCAAATATATCATGCTGGTTTTGGCGACCTTTGCATTTAATATATACATACATACATATACATATATGCCCAACACGTTAATGAGTGGCAAGTGGCAGCGAAAATGATTACAATTCTGAGAAGGTTCGTGTGCCGCACGTCAAGTAATAATGCAAAAAATACGCGTCCAGATTTAATCTTGGGCCAAATTATGGCGTCCTGCAAGCGGAATACAGAATACAGCACGCATTTGTACAGGAAGCAGGGCAAGTGTACAGGATCTTCGTATTGAGTAGACGTGCAACAAGGCACGGGGCACGGGGCACGTGGAACGTGGAACGGGGCACGGGGCACGTGGAACGGGTCACTGGCCATATCTGCCAACGCAAAGCGTCTTATTTTTTAATGTTCTTTAGGGTATTCAAATTCTGTCACGAAATGTGTAACGTATATAATAAGAAGATGTCATTCGTTCCATTCAGGCATATATATATTCTCGAGCAGCCGAGTTTGAATGACAACTAGTCGATTATTTTATCGATCATTTATCGGAATCAGCCGGAACGAACCGCTAGAATTGGGCATAAGTATATATATATATATAGGAGTACGGAAAACTGTTATCCAAAATTGGCATTTCTTAGTTTAGCTTAATTTTTTTTATATGAGCAAAATCTTAACGATAGCTGAAGAGGAAGAATGAGTTGAAATAGTTTTGTTCTCTTTCACATACTTTAACCCAACTCAAAAATGACGAGCTGAAAGAATGTTATCAATATCGGACGGACGGGAATTAAAGTTCTTGAGTCAATTGAATTTGAAAGTGTATTTTATCGTCGGCTTAACGCTGCTCGTCTTTCCTTCGTGTTTTCAATTTATCATTGTTTGCGTCTTTGTTTTTGTTTTCGCTTTCGCTTCGTCCAATAAGATTGTGCTACATGTTATTCGGGTGCCGCCCTTGCCTCCACTTTGCATGTCATTTGCATGAAAAAAGAGCATCGGAAATAAGAAGCAAAATCGCGAATCAAGTGGGTGGGGTTGGGTGGTGCGGCCAGCTGCCAACGTGAGAGAGTCAAAAAAAAAAAAAACCAAATGAAAAGGGAAACGAAAAAAATATGCTCCATTTAACGTAGTCCAGGCGAGAGATGCCCTGTATTTAGAACCAGGATAAAGTAAAAGGGAAAAACTCATATAATTAGATGAGATGAGTTTAGATGAGATTAGATTGGATTATAAAGGAGGAACCTATATTTTAGATAAGCCCCATAAGTGTTTGGGTTTTGCGAACGACATTTAAGTTCTATCTATCCCATACGCGACTCGCGACTTTTCTAGAGTATGAAAACCGAAAGGGAATTCTCAAAATTCGTAGCACATTTTTGCGTGCAATTTAAATGCCGAGCATTAGAAATTGAAAAGCTCAGAAATGCCAGAAAAAACAAAAAAAAAAAACTGCTAACAGATGCGCTAACAAACTGCGAAGCCTTGTTATTTCTGTCTGCGTATATAAATTGTTATTTAATTTTCGTGTAATTTGAATAGAACTCGCAAATGTGACAAATAGCAGCCCCAGACCAGGACACCAGGACACCAGGACGCCAGGACGCCAGGACACCAGGACACCATCGACAACAGAGGGCTATAATTATAAAATTACGCGCCCCGCCAGTCTAGTAAAATGATCTATTTGGTCTAGTGTCAGATGGGATGGGATGCGATATTTGCCTGTACTAGTTTATCTAGGGATAAACACACACACACACACACACCTGACTATTTGTGAGAGCCTCAAGTTACAGCTTTGTGAATTTGATGTCAAAGCAAGATATTAAATAAATTAAAACGCAATTTAAAACGAAAACATTGCTAAGCCCTGTTACCTAGCTTCCTTCTACTTTCTCTTTATCTTTATCTTATTTTTTTTTTTTGACTCGCAGCACTTGGCATAATCCAAAAATAAATAATCAATAGAAATCATTGAATAAATTTCTTCTGTAAACACATTTTAATCCTGTGATTCCACGAGAGCCTGTCAAAACTGGAGCACTTGACGGATCATAAAGTACGCATACGTGTGTATTTCTAGCTATTATTTATTTTATATTTTCCCATGTTTACCTGCCGTATCCCTGGCAACTTGGTCCTTTAAAAACCTTTGTCCAAATTTTTTGCATATTTTTTTTCCCCCCCTCTATTGATTAACATGTTTATTTACCCTCCAGAGAGTTGAGCCCTTTTGTTAAGCTTGCTTTTTGGCACTCATGTCGGTAATTTTACGCTGGCATGATTGAACAATTTAAATAACATTTAATTTTTAATCCCTCTTTTTATTTCACTCTCTTCACAGCCCCGAGTCTGTTTATTTATTTTGTTCAACTATTTTATCGCAAATGGATGTAATCGACGGAAATGTTGCAACTTTTAATTTAACGATTGTATGTTAATTATATATCTGATAAGTACATATCTTTTAAAACTTTCTCTTGGTTGACGTACTTTTTTTTCGTGCTGTATATAAAACTTTGCTCATTTCGTATGCGGAGCAAAAACTGTTGACAGTTTTATTTATGCGATTCTTATACTCTGCGTACAAGAGGGTATATTGGTTGGTTGGTTGGTGAAAAATCATCCAACTTACACTTCTATTAGACTGACATTTTCTCTGAAACCTTCTTAAGTCCGGCCACGCCCATTGTCGCTCTCTTGTGCGTACACTTCTCTTGAACGGACAAGAGTTAACCAACTTTTGCTGTCCGCCCAAGAGGGTTTTCACTGTACCGACATGCTCGTGCTTTTGTCACAAGAATATATATCTTCAGGCTGTGTAGTATACTCAAGATAAATGCTTGCGGTAAACAGAGTATTGCGCAGTCGATTGCACCCGAATGCAGCTTACTTTAATAACTGCTTATTGAATATAAGTTTTCATGGCCAAATTTCTCATAATGAAAGCTCCTTCCTCAACATATGCATATGTTCATATACATATTGAGCTGCTGGCCATTAATAAATAATGAGGACTTCAGCTTAAAAAAAAAACATTGCGTTTTATTGCTCCACTCTATGTGCCGCATGCCACAAGCGTTACTTGGAGTGACGGCAGGACATTTGCTAAGGGCGCGTGGGGAATATCTCAAGTTTGGTTTGGACGTGTTTTTGTGTGCAACTATCAAAAATATCAAAATATTATATACAGAAGTACTTTGTGCGATAAATTTGGCAGCTGCCCTTCAAATGTTCGCACTGACAGCTGGATAGCATTTTACAACACTGCAACAAATTTATAAAATTGAATACTTTTTGTTTTGCTTGCACAGTTTAGCATCCTACGCAAAAGGCTGCTACCAATCAAATAAGTGACTGAGGTATTGAGGAATGTACGACTGGAAAATGACCTTTAAAACGTCCATCTAAGCAAATTTTTAAAAATAGAATATTAATTTAATACAATAGGAAAATAGTGGGCTGGGTTGATTATTTCTGTATTGTGAGAGAATTATTAGGTTTCTTTTTTAAATTAAATATATGTATATCTGTCTATGCTTTCTGTAGTTTCACAGCTCTTTGTTTAATGCTTAACATAATCTTTGACATACAAAGGACCTGCTGTGAAGCGCCATATTGCCTGATATTAATTAATTTGACAACACTTTAGTCACTACTTAACACTGGTCGAGGCAAGCATTTTAAAAATGTGGCACGCATATGAGTTTTTCTCAGCTGACTTTAAGTTGGTTAGCCTTCCTTAGAGCTGATGCTATACAGTTTTTGCACATGCTCCGTCCCACACGCCCATGCCTCCATACCGACAACCCCCCCCCCCCTCCCCACACACCCGCCTACACGCCTAAGAGCCCGTAATGTAGTCTTTGTTGATGATATAATCAGGGAATTGGAATAATTAGGGCGGCGCTCAAGACTTACCCTGTGCGAACTGTATGAGCTTGCAGAGAAACTCGCCAAAGATGAAATTGCGCAATAGAGTCCCAACAAGTGTAACGGGCATGCAGAGCACGCCCAGCAGCATGTCCGAAATGGCCAAGTTGAGCAGGAAGAGATTGGTAATTGTGCGCATGCGACGGTTCTGCATCAGCGTTGAAATGACCAAAAGATTGCCAACCACAGCGCACAGCAGGATCAGGCTATAGCTGGGTATAAGCCAAGCAGGCATCTCAGTGGGAGCACTGCTGCTGCTGCTGCGGCCGCTGCCGACGGCAGTTCCATTCGCAGCTGCAGCTGCAGCTCCGCGGCTCGATTCGGTGGCCACGCCCTCGGTGATCAAAAAGATATTTCCGGCGACAAGTGCATCATCCTCATAGCTGGCGCTGCTATTCGCATTGCCGCTGGCATTCCCATTGCCGGAATCGACCAATCCCAGAGACAGCGACTCGTTGAGCGGCGCCAGCGTGAGCGAGACAATGTGACTGGCAGCGCTGCGTGCGTTGGCGTAATAGTCGAGCAGCGCCTTGTAGGTGGCCGCCGCACTGGCCGCATCTTCAGCGCTGGCACTGTACATTTCGGTGTTCAGGATCAGACGATCAGTCTGCAGTGCCAGCAATAAAATCGATATTCAACTTGTTCTTAGTGTTTCACTTCTTCCTCTGTTAGACAACACTGAACAATTATAACGATATTGGAATAGTTCTGGTTCTGGATCAGACGATTAGTCTGCAGTACCAACAATAAAATCGATATTGAACTAGTTTTTATTGTTTTACTTCTTCCTCTTTTAGACAACACTGAACAATTATAACGATATTATAATAGTTCTGGTTCCGTTTGTTGTTCAGCTTCTGCCTCTGTTAAACAGCACTGAACAAAAAAGCAGAAAAACTTTGCGTACAACACTGAACAATTATAACGATATTGGAATAGTTCTGGTTCTGGATCAGACGATTAGTCTGCAGTACCAACAATAAAATCGATATTGAACTAGTTCTAATTGTTATACAACACTCTGTTAGACAACACTGAACAATTATAACGATATTAGAATAGATCTGGTTTCGTTTGTTGTTCAACTTCTGCCTCTGTTAAACAGCAACGAACAATATTAACGATATTGAACAGGCTCTAGTTTTGTCTGTCGCTTCACTTCTGCCTCCTTTCAACAACACTGAACAAAAAACCACAAAAACTTTGCGTACAACACTGAACAGTTATAACGATATTGGAATAGTTCTGGTTCCGGATCAGACGATCAGTCTGCAGAGCCAACAATAAAATCGATATTGAACAAGTTATTATTGTTTCACTTATTCCTCTGTTAGACAACACTAAATAGAATAGTTCTGGTTTCGTTTGTTGTTCAACTTCTGCCTCTATTAAATAGCACTGAACAATATTAACGATATTGAACAGGCTCTAGTTTTGTCTGTCGCTTCACTTCTGCCTCCGTTTAACAACACTGAATAAAAAACCAGAAAAACTTTGCGTAGAGTCGCGCGCGCGCACCTTGCTGTCAGGGAGTCCTCGCGATAACGTTCTGTGGCAACGTTTATGGTCACGGTTAGCGTCTCGGAGATGTATACGACGACAACGACGCCCACGACGCCGACGTCAGGCGCCAACGTCGTCGTTTGCTGGCGCGCTTCGCTTTGCCTGCTTACCGTTACGTTGAACGAGTCGTAGGCAACTGGCCGACCCAAAGGGGCCAGTGTGCCGGCGCCTGCGTTTCGTGTGAGCCAAACTCACCACATGCGGCAGCAACAAGCGGCAGCGCAACATGCCGCTTTGCAACATGTTGCGACCATCAATGGGCATACAAATTGCGTGGGTCTTCGTTAATATATATGCTAACGAGCATATGAATATACTCGGTCTGAGAAAGAGCCTTAAATACAGATTTCAAGTAACTTTTGACTGACGGACTGATAACAGTCTCAATAACTGTAAACCTTTATGACTGACTGACTGACTGTATAACTGTATGACAGACTAAATAACTAACTAACTGACTGACGAACAGGCTACATGACCACCTTACTGAATGAATAACTTAATGATTGTCTGACTGACTGACGGACAAAATGACTGACTGGTTGTATACTGAATGACTGATTGACCGACTTAATGACTGACTGCCTTAAAGGCTGGCTTACTAAGTGACGGACAGACTGAGTGATTGAAGAACCGACGGACTGCCTAACTAAATGATTAAATCACAGACTAACTGACTGATTGACGGACTGACTGACTATATAATTGATTGACTGACGGATAGACTGGTTGACGGGCTTACTGACTGTATAACTGTATGAATAATTGATTGAATGACTCACTTAAGGATAGACTGACCGAATGGCTGTATATATGTAAGAATGATTTGCTGACTGACTTACCGACTGACTGACTGTATAAATGTATAAGTGTTTGGCTGACTGACTGATTGACTTACCGACTGACGGACAGACTGACTGACTGCATACTTGAATGAATGATTGATTGACTGTCTGACTTACGGATAAATAGACTATATGACTGTATAACTGTATGGCTGGTTGACTAACTGACTGACTGCCTGACTAATGGATAGATTGACTAAATGACTGTATAACTGTACGCCTGACTTAATGACTGACTGACTTATTGGTAATAAATCCGCAGCCCAAATCGTAAGAGCAAGCATGGAAAATAAAATATTATTTGTTTCTCAGCAATTCTGGAAAATCCATCCGCAAGGACGAAATATAGCAGGAAAAACTGTTGAATGCATTCATTTTCTTTTCGATTTTCATCCGAACAGTATTAAACTCATTGTCAAAGACTTATGTAAACATTGATTGAAGACCTGTTATGCAAGCACAAACATCGTTTTTTACTCTTAATACTCAACCATTTCATTTTTTACTTTTCCGAAGTGCACTTAAGGAAAGTCATACGTATAGAACGTCTTATTGCATATTCTTATTTGCCATATTGATTTCATTTTTCTCAGCGCCTTGGTGGACACGATGATTGAAATTTTCTCGATTTTCTTTTGTTTACTTTTTCAGACGGTTAAAATTGAATTGCTGCTGCTTAAATTATTATTTATATAATACCTCAGCAGCTGGTGTTCCTGTTTTTGTTTCCCCTTTGGAATTCAAGCAGAACTTTTCGATTTCGATGAGATTTCATAGGAAACTGTAAAAAATTATATAACATAATGTACTTATATATATAATTATATATATTATACTATGTATTTACTTTTCTATATATGAGTAAGCAATATTAAATTATTTTTGAAGCTACCTATTTAAACTCATATATAACATATGATCGCAAAGGTAATAAAAATAATAATAATAATATTAAAAAAATAATATTAATAAAATTCATTTTAGTGAGCAGAGAGTTTGGCTCTGTTACTTTTACACCTTAAGGTGTTATATATATGCCCTGAACAGATCGGACAATAAGCACCGATTCTTTTTAAAGATGAGTTTCTGCCCGTGTGGAGCTAAGGCAAGAAGAAGCACAGCCACACCGTGTGTTTAGGCGTGCTTATATGCATAAACGCAAGGCCTAGGGTATCGCCCAGTCGGGCACTGCCGACTTGAGCACTTCTGTTTATTTTTGCATTTGGTATGCCAACTTCTTATTTACACTGCTTAACTACGAATTCATTGTGCATTATCTCCATTATTCTGCTCTGATAACAGTGAAAACAGCTTTGCCATTCGATTTGAAATTTTTATAGTCTAAAAATATCAATGTCTGCTCAAAGCCTGTATAGTTAGTCGTATCTATTATCTATTATCTTTATGCTATTTAAAACTTTGCGATAAGATGGCAGTTGAAGTCGTGCATCTGTGATATATACATATATATTTATATAAATGTAAAATGACTTTTAGATACATTCCACAATTTATAAAAGTTGAATACTAATTTCTTCAAGAACAAGTTTGATCAGATACAAAGCTCGTTGCTCGCTGAGCTGCGTTTGTTTTTCCGCTCGAATTGTATTCGATTTTTTGTTAAATCTTTATTCGTATTTCATATTTGTTCCTTCTCGCCCGAAAAGGGCAATTCAGCAAACTGATTGCTTGATTCACATTCTGCTATTTGCCGCCTGATAAAGCGACGTGGATGACGCTGAAGACGATAAGCCCTGCCTGCACCGGATAAGCCTCAATGCCGTCCCGTTCCGTCCCATTCGACCCGAATTGCACTGCTCACACACACACACACACACTGACAGATACAGATACACACACACACACACACACATGTCTGGCACTAGTACGTGCGCACTTGATTACAACGTGCCCGGGCTCGGTTCTTGCCACAGTCTCAGTCCCAGTCTCAGTCCCAGTCCCAGTCTCGGTCTCAGTTTCAGTGGTAGAGAAGAGGCTGTGGTCTAGCCTGGTCCCGTCAAGGCTGTAGCAAGGCTGATGCGGCACTGATTGCCTACCGAAGATTCCGTTAAACCTACACCTGAACTTGCCATCGGCCGACCGGTTGATTGGGAACTGGCTGCCGCCGGCTAGCGACAGTGTGCAACACAGAACCCGAACTTAATTTCCAAGGAATCAGCCCGCAAATGAACATAAATCTAGATATCGTCAAATGTTCAGAGTATCGCAATTGAAAGATAAAGAGTTATGTACTTATTTAACATATGAATCGTTAGGTTTTTCACGTGCTAATTTTAGGAAATTTGTATTGGGAATATATCTTCAAGAAGGAAAAAGAAGGGGAAAAACTGAATTTTCCTCCTATTTATAGTTATTCAGCTTTAATGAATGTAACATATAATAAAAACTCACCTGAGAATTTTTTTATAATTTGGCCATATTGTAGTTTGTTTTAAGATTTATGATCCTATTAAAGAAAATATATATATATACATTAAATAAAAAATATATAAATGCTTTCGTAGATTAACTATATGCAAGTTATTTTGGCATATTGTCCTGATTATAGAAAAAGTTTGGAAGTATCTGTGGATAGTAATATCATATTGAACTCTTTGACTGTTAAATAACTTAATCACAGCTTTTTTATGTCTTAATTTAATACCTGACAACATTGTTTACTCAAGATAGTTAAGAATATATTTTATATGGCAAGACCCTGCTTCAAAATATGAACATTTTTCATACATTCATCGTTCTCAAGAAACAAACAAAAGTAAGATACAAAATTCGATACTCTTGAAATTCGTTTGTTTTTCTGCTAAAATTGTATTCGATATTTGTTCATATTTCAAATGTTTCCTTGTTGCCACAAATGGACATATGACTGCTTGCCAAATGTACATTCATGTATTTTTCATTAAGTTTCCCCATAAAAGCACATTACATACAAACATATGTACATATATCTGTAAAAATATGTTTGTATCTCAACTTTCTGTTTGCCTAATTCTTTTTAAAGGATAAGCAGCTTTAACTCACAACTTTAACTTTTCTCTGCATCCACAATTTGAGTACTTTAACAATTTGTTATACATGTACATATATACATACATATACATATATATGTTTTAAAAATGCTGTTGAACAGTGCTGCCGCATCCTAAATCATGCCTCCATATATATACACACACACACCCATACGCGCACGCACACACACACATAAGCACGCGCGCGCGTTCGTCGGTGTCAAACATTTTGTCAACGGCGCAGTCAACGTCGCTGCCCGCGCACTTTCAACTCTGAAATTGAAACTGAAAATAAAACCAAATGCGGTGGCGGCGCCGTCGTCGGTGGTAGCTCTATCTCTTTCTCGCGGCAGCATTGGTGCTCCTGGGTGCTCCCACTTGCTCGCTCGCGAACTGCGCTGCCCGCTTCGTTTTCGTCGTTATGCTTTGTGCTGGTTGGCGCTGCTTCTGCGTCAGCCACTTCGTTGGAGTTGCACGCGCTGCCGGCCCGCATTCGTGAGCAACTATTCGTGCGAGTCGGACGGAGTCGGTCGGCAATTTTTTTGGTCACTCCCGATTAAAGCCTGTGCCTTTTGCCTTTGTCTTTGTTTTCGTTTTTTATATTAATTTTTTTTATTAATTTTTGTTGTTGTTTATCGTGACACTTGTCGCTGAACATTTACGAGCATCGCGCGTTGTGTTCAAATTGTTGAATTTGTGTCCCAAAGTTGCAATAAAAAAGCCAAGCCGGCAGAAATTCATTGAACTGTCAGTTGAGTTGCAGCAACAGCCGCCACAGCAAAAGAGAGCAGAGCAGAGCAGAGCAGAAGCGACCCAACAGTAGCCGCAGCATCCCATTCAGCCAGCAACATGTCAGACGGCATTGAAGTTGAACAAATTGTGGAGAGCAAACCGAGAAGGGTGAGAGATACTTTAACACATGCACACATACACATACAGGAAAGAGTGCATCTTGTATATGTATTAAGAAAATATTAAGTGCGGCAGAAGACGAAACAAAAAGAATTAGACTCTTAGGAGATGCGACAACGGGGCAGTCAAACAGCAACAGCAAAAGTAGCAGCAGCAGCAGCAGCAGAGGCGCAAAGCGCAAAGTAAAATCTGCAGAAACAGATAGCGCGCGAGAGAGAAAGAGAGAGGGAGAGAGAGCGGGAGAGCAGACAAAAAAGGAAGAGGCAAAGCGCGGCGAAGCAGCCTCGCTATAGTTGGAGTCCAAGCCCAAAGTCAAGTGTGCGTATGTGTTAGTGTGTGTGTGTGTGTC